ACTATGTTTCTAAGACGATTCTATCTCATCTCCAGTCTCCGCTGTGTCCAGCGACTTCTAACTGTTCGATCCAGATGCTTTTACATGCATTTTTCTGTTCCGATATTCTTTGGAGGATCGGCCGACAGGTCTCACTAACATAAGGTCGATCACAACAACACATAATCTAGCAACTTTCAGTTTTTATAACTTTTGATCAGATGATTTTTATTAGCACATTTCATATTCTTAATAATCATAGATTTTTAAATTTCAACCTAAGTTTTGTAATAAGAGCTGTATTCTCTCTATTTCGTTTAAGGTCATGAAGAATTTGTAGTTGAATTTTCCCACAATAATATTAGTAGAGCTAACGTTTCCATTTAATTTCACATAGCCTTGCTTTCTCAAAAGTTGTTCTCATCCAGGCTGAAGTGGACTACAGTTTCGACCTCTCCTAGTTCTTTTCGACACCTTCAGCGGGACTCGAACCATGTAAGTGCTGCGTATAATCTCGACACGTTTACTACTACGCCATATTGCCATGAGTACCCTTGGGTCACAGGGAAGATGCAAATTTCGGGGAAGGCCAGGCGTTTTCTCATATCAAATTCTTTGGTGGGATTTTCGATGAAGCGAAGTTATATTTTTTATGACATTCGATGACATTACTTGGTCTTTGTTTCTAAATAGGTTGTCTAGACTACCACTTGATCAGTTATATGTGATGTATTTACCACCAAATTTCGTTATGTGATGTAGATGGTGATTGTTAATTGAATTTTTCCAAAATCATATGACTAGATGGGACGCTTTTATTGCATTTCGCATAGCCTTGCTTTCCAAAATGGTGGATGAGAACACTTTTTGGAGGATGTCTCGGGGATTGCAGTAAGCTGAACTTTGTATTATTGCAAATCGTTTAAAGTAAAACGCGTCTTCCGGAGAGATCGACCTACGAATCTACACATCATTCGCTTTCATACGAAATGAAAGTCTTCACAACAATATTATCTCAGCAGATTCTTCGAAACCCACATTTTCTTCGTATGACCTGTGCTGTAGCCGAATAGTATGAATATTGAGTCATTGAAGTTGGCTAGTTAAATAAACAAATTATATGACATAATAGTTTTATTTTCTAAGAATGATACTATCATTAAAATATCCATCTAATTTTTTTAATCCTGACCTTTCTTTATTAGCAATTCTTTCTGATCCCATCGATGCTGAGACATATTATTCTCAGTATGATGACTTCCAGGACCTTGCTGAGGCTGAAGAAGATATAAACTTTGATAAACTATCTTCATCTGACAAAGATTCATTGACTTCAAGCGACACTGAAGATGGTGCTGTGGAGCTAGGGGAAGTTAAAAACGATAATTTAAAACTTTATTCTATCGGAAAGGAGAATCGGCGCGAGAGCGTAATGCTCAACTATTTTAAGGCTGCACTTAAACAGCCTTCAGAATTGAGTAAGCAACTAATATAATATGTAAAATGTTTATTTACTCATATCCAAAAGCACTTCTTATTATTATTTATGTTAGAGACTTCCCAGAAAAATGGCTAATATCCCTTGGGAGTGTTGCCAACTTTCATGGTCCGTTTTCTAA